TTACTATTATATTATTATTATTATTTATTATTATTATTATTATTATTATTATTATTATTATTATTATTATTATTATTATTATTATAAAACTCTTACTTAATATTCAATGTATTGTATTGATTTGCTCTCTCGCGTAATTAGAGCAATATGAAACGAAATTCGTGCAAAGAATCGAGCGCATTGATGGGTACAGATAGCGTGTAAACATAGGGATTTATAATTATTTCTCAAGAATAATATTTCAGAAAATAAGTTTATCATATATGATTGAATTTGTATAAAAGTAATCTTTAATTTGATCATTAAAAAAATTTCAAAATTAAAGATATAGATGGAGTGGTAGAGGAAACTTAAAAAAAGGTTAAAAAAAATCCTTTTTATTTTCTTTATAAAGTATTTTTGAAACGATTTAAGTTTTGTATAAAACTTTTTTTTCTATCTGTTATAATTTTGACGATATTCGCTTTGAAAGAAAAAAAACCGATTTTTTTTTAAAGAAGAGTTCATCTTTAAAAAAAATGACACATGCAACTCAGCACTTATAAAAAAAATGTGTCTCTTATTTTTATCTATATTTTAACATGTGTCTCTTTTTTTGTCTATATTTTTGTCTATATTCGAATTTTATTAAATCGAGGGGAGGGACACTTGGTTGTGTTCCCTTGTTAGTAAATATATTTGGTACTTACTCGCCTTTGGGTATCTGTATTGTAAACTTTATAAATTCCAATCGTACGCGTTCCAGATGTTGCGAGTCCTGCATGCCATAGATAAAATAACGACAAACGACTTTAGGTATATAAGGATATGGAAAATTTGGACTAACTACGAATCCTGACGTTTCTTTCTTGCTAAGGATCTTTTGATCGCATTCAGATCCACGGATGTGTTCGCCCTGGTATTCTGTTATGAAATCTATGTAATAAATGAAGTAAATATCGATCAAGATTAGTAAGATTTATGAGATTTCATATAGTAGACAAAATAATCATAATCATCTCACCTAAACTAACAAAACTCTCCGAAAATTCGAAGATACCTTTGAATCCTCGATTTTGTGTATTTGCCGTGCGCTTTAATGTAATAAACAGCACGAACAAGCTGTTTTCTGAAGAATATAATACTAAATTTCGTTGCTGCCCGCAATATGTACCAATAACTGCAGTAGAATTATCGAGACCATCATATACTTTTACGTAATCTAGTGGACAACTAAAAAATAATTTTAAACTTTTCTGTTAACTTATTATACTATTATAAAGAAAGATAGCAATATCAGATATAAATAAATTAAAAAATGAAAAATATTCTATTTGGAGAAAAGATAAGATATATAAATATTTAGAGAAAAGATAAATCAATTAAGTCCTAAATCTCTTCGAGCTTTTCTGTTTTAAGTCATATTTCGAGTCTACCAAAAGTTTTGCAAAAGTGGCAATTGATATTATATTGCAATTGATATTATATATATTCTCAAATATATTTACAAGACTTTCACAAATATTATTTTCAAAATTGTATTGTGTTTTACAGGTTCTGTCATATCGTGAATCATTGTTAGTATTAATATTTCGTGAACTGCAGTTTATTTCATCAGCGCGAGAAACAATTGAATTGAGTTGTCCCTCTAGAAGATTTTCTTATGAACAGTTCAAAATAATCACTTCTCTAAAAGACATAATTATATTCTATTCCTAATTATATTCTGAAACATTTTCTTTTTCCAGAACTTAGTTTTATAATATATTATAATACTAATGATAATACACGCATATATTCATTCAAAATTCAAATTCTTATTTTTATTAATATTTTATTTATTAATTCTTATTTTTATTGCTAACTTTAACTTAAAAATGATATCTAATTATTTGTCGCCTTGCTTTCTAACGTTTCTGATAAAAAAGATATAAGAGAAATTTTTATAAAAATGAAAAATTAGCAAAAATAATTGTGCAAAGAATATTTACACAATTACAATAAATTACAAGAATATTTGCATATCGAATTTGAAAAAATAATTATAGTATTTTTCTTATGAGAATCACGGCTGTGATTCTTGACACAGTTAAGAAGTAAATCAAAGCTAATCACGGTTTGCAGAATATAAACTATCACTACGCCAGAAATTTCGTTGCAGAAATTCGACAATTTTATTTTGTAGCTTCTAGAGAAACATAAATAAATTATTTCACGTTGAACCAATATACAAAACAAGAATTTATTTTAATAAACTTTTATTACTCTTGAAGTTTAATGCAGAGATCATTAAAATCTCCTTTTTAAATTATTATATTTAAAATGCGTGAGTGAGAAATAGAGAGAGAGAAAGAGAGAGAGAGAGAGAGAGAGAGAGAGAGAGAGAGAGTATTTATA